TATAGTTATTGACATGTAGAATATTCTTCTGTTTCTCTGCTGTCGTGAACGTATCATTTCTATTGCAATTATTCCCTTGACGTTGTTCAAGCTTTCACGTAGCTTATAGTGTATAATGGTATACAAGATTATGATTGCGATCAAAGGGATGATAAAGCCTGCCATGGTAAGTATGGAATAAAATAAAATATGAGCTTTCTTTGGGTCAAATGCTGGTGACCAAGAGTATTCACACATCGTGTAGCCCCATTTCTTTGTCAGACGATAAGTGTAAAAGTACGGAGAGTAGAGAGCCGTGGCTGCAATCCATGAAAAAAAGACCAGAATCCATCTTGTTTTAGGAGTTATAATCCGTATTCGAGTTGGATAAACAACAGCAATAAACCTTTGGAAAGCAATATTCACAAGATTGAAAGATGATACGAATGTTGGTATCTCAGATAGTATAGGAACCAGTTTACACAGTGCCTCACCGAGGTAACCCTCCACTAACCACTCACCAGGCCGTACTGTCTCGCGTGAAATCATCCATGGCAGTGCTATCAATGGAACGAGCAAGTCTGATACAGCCATGTTTACAATCAAGTAGTTCATATTTGTTTTTAAGTTTTGATTGCAATACACGACAGCGATGACAAGTAGGTTACCAAGTAGAGACCAGAGAAGTAGAATACACCACAGGGTTATTTTAGTATGAGCTGCCAGTCCTGATGTCTCTCGCAGTGTTTCATTAGCATGGGATGAATTGTTCAGGTTCATAGTGAATCCTTGACGGTGCCTGGGAAATAATTACAAATTATATTATTAATGATATATTATTATGGATATTATGTCGTTATGAATTCATCATTTATATGTGATATCATAAGCTCAACTCATAATCGATTTATCAAAACCTTTTTTGAAGAATTGAAGAGTGGGAGACAAAAAAAAAAACAAAAAACGAGCTAATCTTTTGTAAAGAGTGAATTATCATCAATGACAATTTACCTTGTTTTGTGCCAGTAAATTTGTGCTCGTACACAACTTGTTTAATTATGAACGTTAAGGTTAGCGAGCTACAGATCGCTACAGGCGCCTCGGATTTGTACGTGTTTCTAATTTTTGGTGGTGGCTTATTTGCGTAGCCTTGCGCCAGGTTAAACAATTAATAGACAGCGCACGGCACGTGATAATTGTTAATTATTCGCCAAAGGCAAAGTATATCATTTGTTGGTGATTGATTTATGTCTAGAGTCAAACTCCATTTTATTCTCTTCTCACTGGCCAAGAGGGTGCAACGTTAGCCTCCTCCGCAGGCATCTCTGTGGCTTTCTTCGGTTTTCGCTGAAAAAGGAAGCCCGCTCGCTAGAGAGATATAGTATGTGGGAGTTTATAGAGTTGCCTGCGGAGGAGGCTAGGTGCAACGTAATGGTCATAGAATTTCACTGTTTCCCGGCAACCGTTCTGAGCGGGCAAAGATCACGTTTATATTAGTTAAGTCTCGGAGCGGCGAGGTAAATATTCACCGTATTCACTAAGCCAGAGATGAATAGATGCTTTAGTATAATTTTAGTCTTGAATATCAGGGAAAAGACGAAATTCAGAATAAAAAACGTATTAGTATTACTTAAACTCTGGCAATGATTACTGATCGCTCGACCAATTACAGCGCAACTCTATTCAAGTAGTCATGCTAAAAACTTGTACGGCAATGATCAGCCGGTTCAGGTTTCTGAGGGTCAGTTCTAGCGCTGCTTTAGATCTTAAATCATTCATGAAAAGCTGTTAATTAGGCATTATCATTAAACGCAGGAATCAATGGAAGTGTAGTGTTTTATGTGCGAGTCYAGTCGTTTTTGTCAAAGTCATTTTCTTCCACGCACTGTTTACACAAGGTGCTTTTAGACCATGTCTGGAATGACATTATTAGCACAGCAGGAAAAGCCGTTACGCAACAACTTCCTGTCTTAAGGACGTTGGCGGTCATTATTTCTTCGCTTCGGCTCCGCAGCCCTTTTGCGCACGTACTCAAGCAATCTCGTACGAGAGAATGAGCGACGAACGCCTGGGTGATTTTGTTTATCTGGCAAATATGATCAAAGTAAGGCCCTGGCTAAACGAGGAAACATGTTTACCGCGCACATGTTTCCTCGATGTTACCCAATTTATCCACATGCGAAACATTGCTGCGTGCAACAAATTTTGCTTCCAAGACGCAAAAAATGTTTTTGCTGCATGTGCGCCAGAAATATTTCCGATGTTTCCTGRCAGTTTTGCCGCCTTAGGAAACATTTAGAGAAACATATGTTTCCTCGTTTAGCCAGGGCCTAAAGATGGCGGCAAAATTTTCTGAAGTTTATGAAACGACGGTTGACTCCCATTTTTTTTCTTTTTAAACAAAAGGTAGCACATAGATTTATGAATAAGGTATATAAGCTTTCAAATTTGAAGTGGTCCGCGGTAGTAAAGTTTCTATCTTGCCAGGAGTAAACAGCCAAAATTAGAAAACCATGTTACTTTAATTTATATTTATTTATTGGCTAGAAATCGGTCGCTCAATCAGAAAGAGGCGGATCTGTCATCCCTTACCATAGGCACTGCAAAAAACGAGCCGGAAAACTGAGGAAGATATCTCATTTCCTTCCAATTCACCTACAGCTGTCATACCGTAGAATGATTTACAATGCTTTTCCTCTATACCGTCTAGAATTTCCTATCACAAAGCTATTTTGTGGTATTGCTGTATATAGCCTCTCTGTATAATAAATGCGGCGAACAAAATTATAAGTCAAACCGAAAATAGTCGTTATAGACCCCTTGTATGTGACGTCAAAGCAGCTCAACTTGGAGAACAAAAAAAAATTCTCAATTCCATGAGAATTGGAAACCTCTTTTTGTCCTCCAAATTATTCTGAATTCCGACGGACTGCAAGGGGTTTACTGAAAGGTGGTGTCTATTCACACTACCTCAACCTGCAATGGGAGGGAGGTAGAAGAACCACTTGGGACGCAAAGAAACCCTGGCAGTAAACACCTTCAGTGTCTGACCTTTATACTAATGATTTCCTAATGCGTTGATTGTCGTGGTATCTAGAAAAAAAAGATCCTGTGTCCTATTGTGCAGTACCAGCCTGCGGACAAACTCTCAAATAATAATAATAATAATAATAATAATAATAACAACAACAACAACAACAACAATAATAATAATAATAATAATAA